AAAAAAACACACACACACAAAAAATATATCATATGAAATAAGTTTACTACTGAAATTAAAACACAAACATAACATTTCAAAAATTAAAAAATATAAAAACAAAAATATGAAAAAAAAATCCGAAAAAATATTCAATAAAACTCGTCTCATATAGATTCTTCAAATACATATATAATCGATTTCTCTTCATCATTAATGAAAATGTTTTTTTTTTATATCCTCCACCATATTATGGAGGGTATATTAATTTTGTCATTCCGTTTGTAACTCATCGAAATATTCATTTCCGATCCTTTAAAGTATATATATTCTTGATCAGGGTAAAATTCTAAGACGATCTAGCCATTTCCGTCTGTTGTAATCACGCTATCTTCTGAAGTAATCGAGATAGGGTGGTGAAAATTTGCATAGGTTTGTCATTTGTCTGCAGGCAGGTCAAGTTCGAATATGGGATATATGGGTCCAGGTTTAGGCATAGCTCCCATATAGGGTACCCCCAATTTTCGGTACTTTGGAGTTCTTGAGCGCTTTTTTCTATCGAATTCACTGAAATTTGGTACATTGGGTTCTTATTGGGTACTAAATGTCTCCACAAAAAATTATAAATATAGGTCCTCTTTTTCTGGTAGCCCCCATATAAGGGTACCTCATAATTTTCAGTATTTTGGGGGTTTTAGTCGTATTTTTCCACCGAATTGGCTGTAATTTAGAATTTTGAGTTCTTAATAGATTCCAAATCTATCCACATGAAATTATGAACATAGGTCCATTTTTTCGGGTAGCCCCCATATAAAGGTTCCCCCAATTTTCGCTATTTTGGGGTTCTTGAGCGCGTTTTTCAACCGAATTCGTAGCAAATTGGTATTTTGTAGTCGTATATGGTAACAAATTTCTCCATCAAAAAACTATTAATATTCGCACCCCCCTTTTTGGGGTAGTCCCCATATAACCCCATTTTTATACCCTTCACCACACTGTGGTACAGGGTTTTATGTCTTTGTGCATATGTTTGTAACAGGCAAAAGGAAACGAGATAGACACATGGTTCCTTTTGAGAATATGCATAGAATCACTTTCTAAGTCGATTTATGCATGTCCGTCCGTCCGTCTCTGTCTGTCCATGTTAAATTGTGAACAAAGTACATGTCGCATTTATTATTCGAATTGCATGAAATTTTGCACAGCCATTCATTTGGCCCAAGGACGAACCCTATTGAATTTGAAAAATCTGTTCAGATTTAGATATAGCTCTCATATATATTTTCGTCCGATTTAAGGTAAATCGTCCACCAAAGTCCCTAAATATCTTTCGATTTGCACGAAATTCGGCATAGTGTACTGAATTAAGTCTAGAACGATGTGTGTTAAGTTTCCGAAAATCGGTTCAGATTTAGATATAGCTCCCGTATATATTTTCGTCCGACTTAAGGTAAATCGTGCACCAACGTCCCTATATATCCTTCGATTTGCACGAAATTTGGCACAGCGTTATAAATTGGGCGTAGACTGATGTGTGTTAAGTTTCCTGAAAATCGGTTCAGATTTGAATATAGCTCCATATATTTTCGTCCGATTTAATGTAAATGGTACACCAAAGTCCATATATGTCATTTGATTTGCACGAAATTTGGTACAGAGGAATGAATTAGGTCTAGAATGATGTGTGATAAGTTTCGTGAAAATCGGTTCAGATTTAGATATAGGTCCCATATATATTTTCGTCAGATTGAATGTAAATGGTGCACCAAGGTCCATATAAATATCATTCGACTTGCACGAAATTTGCTACAGCGCAATGAATTAGGCTTAGAATGATGTGTGATAAGTTTCTTGAAAATCGGTTCAGATTTAGATATAGCTCCTATATATATGTCCGATTTAAGGTAAATGGTGCACAAAAGTCCCTTAAAATCTTTCGATCAGCACGAAATTTGGCACAGCGTAATGAGTTAGGTCTAGAATGCTGTGTGTTAAGTTTTGTGAAAATCGGTTCGGATTTAGATATAGCTCCCATATATATTTTCGTCCGATTTAAGGTAAATGTTGTACCAAAGTCCCTTAATATCTTTTGGTTTGCACGAAATTTTGCACAGCGTAATGAATTGCAGAATGACATGTTTATGGATCCAGTTTATGGATCCATTTTACTGCACCTTTAAAAAATGCGACGTTTGTTAGGATTCATTTGTTGAATATACACAAAGTGGTGAAGGGTATCATATAGTCGGCCCCGTCCGGCTTTACTACTTTCCTTACTGGGTTTTTCTTTTTATTTTGTCTCTCAGATCATTTTTCATTACTGTCAAGTAATTTCGTTGAATTTAAATTGAATTTGTGCTCTTGAAAATATCTTGATTGTTCACTTATTTTCACATTTTACTTGGAAATGATACAAATCAAAAGATTACACCGACTCATATTACGTCGCTGTTGAGCGAATGACCTATCAATGAAAAAACGAAAAAAAACAAATATTTCATTGATTAAAAGGGGAAACAACGTCATCGGTGTTATTTACAATTGTGTGGATGGAATTATGTCGCTAAATGAAATCATTGCAGACAATGGCTGTCAGACTCATTGTCTCTCAGAATGAGTAATAATTGTAATTTTAAGAAATAAATTTAATATGTCATTCATTGAATATATCTGTTCTAGAAATTTCAGAGGTCATGATCATTTGTAATTTATAATTTAATTCATAAATTAAATTTCGAAACATAAAAAACAAATGTAAGTTAACCGAGGTCGAAATTTTCATTCCATCGGTATTAAAATATGCCTCTAGAAGTAGATTTGGCGGGTTATTTGGGATACCCAATTTTAATTTGGAGATTAACAGGAGAATAAAAGACTTCGTCTCCAGATTCACTCCAGTAGATGAGTTAATTGCTATAATCTGTATAAAAGCGAATTTCTTCTACATCAGCCTTATTTGCGCCCATGGTAGACAATGCTGTGCAGACCAAAGACATTTTTAACAAGCGCCTAGAAACAGCTTATGACCGCTGCTCTGGTCATGACAAAAAAAATTATGATAGGAGATTTGAATGGAAAAATTGGAAGGGAAACTATTTTTGATCCCACCGTCGGAAAATTCAGCCTCCATGAAGAGACATCCGACAACGGCATAAGGTTGATTGACTTTGCAGCAGCAAAATATATGATAGTTAGCAGCACTAGATCCAAGCATATCGATATACACAAGACCCCCTGGATTTCTTCTGATCAAGCAACGAGAAATCAAATTGATTATGTTGTGATAGGTCGCCGGCATTCATCCAGTGTTTTAGACGTTCGATCGATCCGAGGAATGAATATTGATTCGGACCATTACCTTGTGGTAGCTAAGGTTTGCACCTGTCTTAATGTAGCAGCAAAGGTACGATTTAACACGGAAACTTGACGTCGAAAAGCTGCAAACACAACAGATTGCAGAAAACTACTCCACTCAACTTAACCACCTACTTGACGAAAGCACTCCTTGTCCCGATAATAATATAGAAGCACAATGGCAAAGAATTGCCCACTCCTTACAAACTGCAGCAAAAGCAACACTTTTGTACCAAAGACCACCATCAAGATATCCTTGGTACGATCAGGAGTGTGGCAATGCAAGACAGAATTATCGTGAGCGTGAGCAAATCGAGATATACAGGAGTCAGAATAAAGGTCGGAAATTTTGCCAACGAACAAATTGATTATGTTGTGATAGACCGCAGGCATTCATCCAGTGTTTTAGACGTTCGAAAATTTTGCCAACGACTAACCTGCACCAAACCGAAGGTTTTGGCTATACTATGCACCGTTACTATTGATGTTTTTATACCCTTCACCACACTGTGGTACAGGGTATTATTATGTCTTTGTGCATATGTTCGTAACAGGCAAAAGGAAACGAGATAGACACATGGTTCCTTTTGAGAATATGCATAGAATCACATTTTAAGTCGATTTATCCTTCTGTAAACCAAGTCCGTCCATCCTTCTGTAGACCAAGTACAGGTCGCATTTATGATCCGAATTGGATGAAATTTGGCATAGCTCATCTTTTTGCCCAAGGACGAACCCCATTGAAATTGGAAGAAATCGGTTCTGATTCAGATATTGCTCTCATATATATTTTCGTCCGATTTAAAGTAAATGGTGTACCAAAGTCCCTATATATCCATCGATTTGCACGAAATTTGGCATTGCGTACTGAATTGAATCTAGAATGTTGTGTGTAAAGTTTCTTGAAAATCGGTTCAGATTTAGATATAGCTCCATATATAGTTTCGCCCGATTTTAGGTAAATGGTATGCCAAAGTCCCTATATATCTTTCGATTTGCACGAAATTTGTTATAGCATACTAAATTGTGTCTAGAATGTTGTGTGTAAAATTTCTTGAAAATCGGTTCAGATTTGGATATAGCTCCCATATATATGGCATAGCATACTGGATTGAGTCTAGAATGGTGTGTGTAAAATTTCGTGAAAATCGGTTCAGATTTAGACATAGCTCCCATATATTATAGTTTCGCCCGATTTTAGGTAAATGGTATGCCAAAGTCCCTATATATATTTCGATTTGCACGAAATTTGTTATAGCATACTGGATTGAGTCTAGAATGATGTGTGTAAAATTTCTTGAAAATCGGTTCAGATTTAGATATAGTTCCCATATATATTGCATAGCATACTGGATTGAGTCTAGAATGATGTGTGTAAAATTTCTTGAAAATCGGTTCAGAGTTATATATAGATATATAATCACCGAATATAATGTAAATGGTTCACCAAAGTCCCTATATATCTTTTGATTTCCACGAAATTTTGCATAGCGTACTGAATTGAGTCTAGATTTTAGATATAGCTCCCATATGTATTTTCGACCGAATTAATGTAAATGGTTCACCAAAGTTCCTATATATCATTCGATGTCCACAAAATCTGGCGTAGCGTACTGAATTGGGTCTAGATGGTGGTAAAAACAAAACAAACCATTGTGTCGTCCAGTTTAATCGAAGAGAGCAAAGACCATATCGTCATCGGACTCTTCGTGTTCTTCCTCCTTCTTCTTTTCTTCCTTCTTTGCTTCAGCGGCAGCTGGGGCACCACCGCCGGAGGTGGGAGCAGCAGCAGCTGGGGCAGCGCCAGCACCAGATCCCATGGCGGTGATCAAATCCTTAACATTGACACCTTCCAAAGCCTTGGCGAACAAACCGGGCCAGTAAGGTTCAACATCAACGTTGGCGGCCTTCAAGACAGTCGAGATTTTTTCACCAGTGATATATTTTCGTCCTCGTTTAAATAAATGGTGCACCAAAGACCCAAAGTTAGGCCGATTGACACAAAACGTACATATTTAGATATAGCTCCCATATATAGTTTCGTCCAATTTGAAGTGGACCCAAAATATGGCCATTAAAAATACAACCTAACCTGTGACAAGTTTCGTTGAAATCGGTTCATATTTGGATATAGCGTCTATATATAGTTTCATCCGATTTTAAGTAAATGGTGCACCAAACCCCTCATGTTTGTAATGATATTTTGCACAACGTACAAAATTGAGCATTTTGATATTTGCTTTAAATTGATTTACATAATTTTGTCCCATTGCTACAAACGAATGACATGTATATGGATTGATCTAAGTCGGTTCACATTTAGATAAATGTCAAATATTTCATGTTAATGGCCCTTCTGTTAGGATGCAATCGTTTTATATACCCATTGTGGTGAAGGGTATCATATAGTCGGCCCCTTCCGACTTTACGACTTTCCTTACTGGTTATTCTTGCTGAAATGCAGACGAACCTGGCCGATGGTAAAAATGAAAAATTCTTTTGTTTCTAAACTCTGTGCCTTTTTATGGTGTTAAATACAAAATTTTAGATTTTTATTCCGACAAACATTTTTTTCTGGCACTGAAAGTGTTAAGTCAGGTCACCCGTTTATTCTATTCACAGATTATTAGAGAAGATCAACAGCCTTACGATATGAATCTTAGGAACAACTCTTATATATTCCCAAAGTGGTGATGAATATTATATAGTCGGTCCCGTTATACTTTTGAATTTTCCTTAGTGGTTTCTCATATTTAAATGTATAAAAATTGGGAATGATTTCAATTAGTTATAAAAGTATACAATTTAAAATATCTAATATATGACCCTCTCGTTAGCTGTCCCTTAAGGTACCCCTTCTGAACAAATGGTGCAATTATTAGTGAAATTACGGTACCACGACATATGAAACTCAAATATCAGTATTGACCGTAATTTGAAAATCTGTTTTCATTTTGTATACCACATGGGGTTTGGTTTATAGAAACCATGGTCCAAATTTTGCCTCCATCCGGCTTGCTGATTGAAACATTTACATAGTTAATGTAAAACAATAACTCTTACATGTATGTATGTCCATAACATAATGTTAATATTAATATGATTCTTATATATTCCGAATACTCGTACTGAGAGAATAAATTCGGAATTCCATATGTTTTTCACCAAAGCAATGTGACACTAGCAAAGAGAACCACAAAGAGAAAGAGAGAGAGAGAGAATGTACTATTTCAAATGTTCCTTCCAACCTGCAGATGCTTTACACAATACCAAGAAACACTGGAATTGAAATTCATGTTTTCGGAGTAACAGCTGATACTCATGGCGCACACACACCCCGCACAGCATAACATAACACACTACAGCATCCATGGACATCAAAAAGGAAATGTTAGGTTAAAGATGATGAAAATGATGCTAACTCCGAAATAATCAAATGCGCAATGGAATTCTATTAACAAAAATGAAAATAGCTTCAGTTTTAATAATGCTACGCTGTCGTAAACACGTGTCGATTTTGTAGAACGCGTAACACAAATGTTAGCTGTGTGTGGTTCATGTTTGGAAGGATATACCAACAGACAACCATATAACCGAATAATATTAAAGCTACCACACAAATAAAGGATATATGTACCGAGGAGCACAATATTTTATCTGCCATTGTGACCGCATTTTGAGATTAGAAGTTATCTTCTGGATTGTCACGGAAACATTAAAGTGTAGTTTTAAATTGGGCGGTGTACTTTACGATGTGATGTTCTCACATGTAGATATACGTATATTTGAATGTATAAGTGTACGTGTGTGTAAATAAATGTTCATTCAAAGAGGTCGACATTTGTTTGCGACCAAATAACCCAGCAGTGTGTACAGAGTGTGCGGGTGTGTGTGTCAAGTGGCAAGTATAACAAAGGATTAAATGTAGCCACCGTACCCTTAGCGTAAAAACAACAGCATAGCACAACGACAAACGGAATGAATAAACAGACAACAAACAAAGCCAAAGCTCACCGCACCACAGACGATAACAACAACGACAACAACAAAAATCAGCTCTACAATTACGGTTTTGAAGTGTTAAAAGCATAATTGCCATGTTAACCATTTAAAACAGATGGTAAAATTGTCCTTAGGAACCATCATCATCATCAGCATTATAATCATGCACGAGTATGAATATGCCACAACAGTTCCACTCTATTAACATTGTGAAACAACAACAACAAAAGTGAAAGTACCTCCATGTAGAAAATAAAAATAAAATTTATTATAAATTCAAATGAAAGTGAAAACACAGCAAAGAAAATGTTAATGAGTGTCAAACAGAAAAAAATGGTTGTTTAAGAAAAAAGGTCAATGTTATGGCAACGACAGCTGCAACAAAAATATATATGCATAAAATTTTATAACCTATGAAAGAATAAATGTATGTGTATGGAAATAAAAACAAATGAAGTACATAAAATAATATTAGCAATTGATTTAAAATAAACAGATTATAAAAATTAAATACTTTTCATACTAGCAACAACATATGGATTGGATTTATATACGTCGATGGCAGCAGTTAAAACAACAATTATTTCGAATACCATTGGAGAAAAAAAATAATAAATTGAAAAATAAGAATCGTTTGCCGGTAACCCATTAATATTTATGGTTAGTATTGAACATTTAATATTAAAGTTGTAACATATGTTTGTTCTGTTATTTTTATTGTTATGGGAATAACAATGCCTTAGGGGAAAACTGTGATATTATATATAGGTGATTTAATATTATATTGGATAATATATATCGATTAAAAATCCTCACTTGAACTCCCCCATTCTCGAATTGAAATTATCATTGGGCTGGTAAATTTATTAGTGTAGATTCGAATTAAATAAAAAAAAAGAAAAAAAAAAACAGTAAGGAAAGTAGTAATGTCGGCCCGACTATATGATACCCTTCACCACTTTGGGTATATTCTACATATGTATCCGGAAAGACGTCGCCTTTTTGAAGGAATTTTGACATGAAATTGAATTGAATGAACATATGTGATTTTTATGTCTTTCTGGAACCTATGCTAAATTTCATTTCATTTGGACAAGTTTGCGTTTGCGCATAGTGGGACAGATTTGTGTAAATCGATTTAAAGCAAAGTTGACACACGCTATTCGGTATAATCCACTCTTTAAAATTTAATCTCAATCAGACACCTATTGATTATTTGGTGTACAATTAACATAAATAAATCGAAATTATATATGGAAGCTACGATATATCTATATCTGAACCGATTTGAAGCAAACTTGCCAGAGATTAATTTATATTAATTTCAATACGTTGTGTCAATCGGCCTAGCTGTGGATCTTTAGTGTACAATTTACTTCAAATCGGACGAAAATATATACAGGAGTTGTAATGATTTTCAGAGACTTTGGTGCACCATTTACCTTAATTCGGACGAAACTATGTATGGAAGCTATATCTAAATCTGAACCGATTTTCACGACACCAAGCACACATCATTCTAGACTTAATTTAGTACGGTATGCCAAAATTCGTTCAAATCAAATGATTTTCAGGGACTTTCGTGCACCATTTAGGTGGGGAGGTTTGCTACCATATACTACAACAAAATGCCAAACTTCAGCGAATTCGGTTAAAAAACGCGCTCAAACGCGCTCGGGCGAAAAATTTGGATAAAACCCAGCAAAAAGTATACCTATACCGACAATTGTACCACGTCGTAGGGATTTGGTTTAAAATCTTAAAACGTGGACCGATATTAATAACACATGGTAGGGTGGAATATGTGTATAAAATCCTCAAAATTCTGCAATTTAGACAGCAATGTTTTACGAAGCTATAGCTAAAGCGAGACCAATATTTTTTAAACCGTGTAGAAATTAGCGAATATTAGGGTTTGAGATTATATGAGGGACTATGCCTAATTAAGGACCGATGCAGCTCAACGTACAACCTTATATTTAAGATTTGTATCTCAATGCCTTCCTTCACGCTAAATTAATTTAATATCGATATCCTCCGAAGGAAAAATGATTACCACGGCTAAATCGTCTAAGAATTCAATACGAATTCGTTTGAAGAACGCGCTCAAAACCCTCAAAATACCCGAAAAAGTATAAATTTTTATAAATTTATCAAAAAATAACCCAAAGTACCGAATTGTAGCGAATTCGAATAAAAAACGTGCGGAAAATTTCCAAAATATCGAAAATTGGGGTCCTATATTTCTAATGGAGATACTAGGTTGGGGAAAAATAAATCCATTACTTTTATATGAACTAAAGGACTTTATTTAACATGTAAGATTTGTTGCCATTTTAAAGGTAACTTCATAATCCCTCTCTCATAGAAGTCCTGCTCTCTATTTGCAAATATCAATTTTCACAATCCTCCCTACATACCTATTTTTTATCATTAAATAAATTTTGTAATGCAAGAAAAATATGATAATCGCTTGGTGCCAAGTCCAGACTGCATGGCGGATGCATTACAACTTCCCAACCAAGCTCCCGAAGTTTTTGGCGAGTCACTGTAGATGTGTGTGGCCTAGCTTTGTTCTGGTGGTTTAAAACAGTTTTATGCTCGACTTTGAGCTGGATTTCTCTTTCCCCAACTTAATATTTGGTACCCAATAAAGACCGAAAGTGTCAGATTAGAGCGACTTAGGTTGCGATTAGAAAAACATAATTGACTGTAATTTATTAATATTATTTATAGGCCCAAGTTTTGATTTAAAATTGGTTTCCCATCGAAATTGCTATAAATTGGCATACCGAATTCATAATGAATAACAAATTCCTTTCTGCAACCCATGCAAAATTTCATTTAATTTGGGCAGATTTAGAGTCCTTTACGTACAATAGCACTAATCGATTTAAGGGAACCCCCCATTCTCGATTTTAATTTTTCAAGATTTTCAATGGGCTGACA